AAAGCTTATTCCTTTGGGTTTGGTGTAATTAATTGCCACTTACGACTTAGGAGAAAATATTTCAATAAATATTTATGCCACGTGCACCCCTTACTTTCCCCGGTGCCCTGGACACTTCACATTTAACAAATTCCTGTAAGCCTCGGGCTGCAATTCATTTTAGAAGGTTATAATAGCAGCAAGCAGTCACAGATGTCCACTCTGGAGGCAACATGAGAATCCCATTTCTTGGTAAAGCAGGCCATGGAGGCACTGAGAATGTGGCAGAGTGAAATGCTGAAGAGGACACAGCTGCAATGCCACCACGCTCGATCCTCCCACTATTTATTTATAGCTTTGTCAGGGTAAGGCTGAGCATCCACTTGTCTTAAACACAGATAGAAAACCACTGCAGTATGAGGCTGTCACGGAGGGACAGGAAAGGAGATGGCAGATCTACACAGGAGATTAAAGAGTGCCCAAGTCTGAAGTGACAGGAGAGATAAGAAAATCTATCGTCGGTCTTTCCCACTCTGAAATTCATGAGGCAGCTTTTGGCTGCTGTGTGATGTACATGTGTGGTACTGAAAATGTGGAAATACAACCCTTTAAGGGCATATTTAAATTCTGCCTTAACATTAGCTCATATGTGAAGATATATTTTTTTTGGAGCTAAGGACGTCCAGAAGCAAAAAGCGAAACGTATTTTACAGATTACACAAGCAATGCTTTCAGTGGCCTTTTAAATTTGTGCTCGGTCTGCTCCATGATGCAGAGAGCAATTGGTGAAGGGGAGGGTTTCTTATTTCCCTGGGCAAGGGAGAGAGGGGCTCTCGGGAAGGTAAAATTCCCTACCCACAGCAGCACGAACACCCACACACCCCTGAGAAAGGGCTACAACTCAGTGCCACAATTTAGCCTGCAGCTGTTGATTCCTGCACCTTGTCAGGATGTAATTAAGGTATCGTCAAGCTGAATAGGAAGATGGGACTTAAAAACTAAAAATACCTCCGGTAATTATGGTTTAGATCTGGGAAGCAGCGGATGGATTTTGATTTCTGAAAGAGACAATGCTGTTCCTGAAGATGGTTGGGTAATTATGGAGTGAAAAGTAAAATAAACATCCTCTGTGTTTGTGTGACACGGTGCTGAGGGTGTTCGTGCAATCTCAGGAGAGGGGAAAGATGTCTTAGTATTTAGATCTGTCAGTTTTATGCAGAAAAATAGGGCTTTGCTATGTTTACTAGGAAATGTAAAACTTCATTCAAGCACAATGAAACAAAGCAAATGTTTCAGTTATGCACGGTCACTATTCAGGAACACACATGTGGTTTTATTTTGAAAAAAGCCAACAAAAATATATTCTTTGGGATTCAAGATTCACTTTCACACTTGGCTGTATAAAGACCCTTGTTGACTATTGCCAACCCTGGGCAGAAACACCCTTTCTGAACTCCTGTAAGAGTAGATCTTCAAGCTTCAGTGAGGGCATGCTCTCCTTCTTTGGACATTCTGGAGAACACACTGCAAGGCAAGGGCCCTGAATAAGGGACAGAAAAAATTCTGGTGCTTAGACTTCAACACTCTTGACCCAGTGTCTGCACTATTAGCAAGTTATTTGGAAGTTGTTCTAGCATCAAAGACTCATGTAAAATATGAATCTGTATACTTGCACCTAAATATCCAAAGACATGTAGTGTCAAATCTTTTAAAATACTTGGGTGAAGAAATGACTGAAAACCACTCATAATCTACTTTAATTCAAGTGAAAGCTGCTCTCCCTTTTTTTTTTTTCCTCAAAATATACCTTACCAAGGATTTTTCCTTTCTGCATATGTTATCATTCAGTTTGAATTAATTTGTGGGAACTGTTTCCTGAATGTTTTTGTTCCATCTCTTGAGTGAGCACTGGCATTTATCTGACAATATGGTGAGATGATTCAAGGAAGAACTGGCCAGAAAAAAACAATTTCTTAATTACATAGTTACTTCTCTCTCTGAACCGACTTATTGCATGTTTGTACAAATGCCAGGGTAGTAAAAGAGGTGAAGTAGGGGCTGGAGGAGGAGGTGACATCACAGAAACCCTCATTTGGCCAGCTCAAATTAGTGCATAATGACATCCTTAACCTCCTCCTCAACCTGTTTACAAGCTTGATGGCTAAACTGCAATGGAAGTGATGATGCTTAAGTACCTGCTTAGGACAGAGAAGCCAAGCAGCCAGTTCCGAAAATCCAGCTGCTATGATGGCAAAATGACATTATTCACTCTGTCAGCAAACAGAGGGATTGCAGGCAACGAGATCCACAATCACATCACCTGTTTGCTTTGTTAACAACTTGATCTGTTTCTCACCAAGGCAACAGTCTTGTCTGTTCAATGATACAAGCATTGCTTCCCTTCCTTGAGAAGCCAAAGTCTGTTCTCTTGCACTCAACTGACCAGATTACAACCCTAAACTGTGTAAACTCTTCCTCCTCCTGTGCTGCAGATGGATTGAGGTTTTTCCATGTGGCATAGGCCCTCTCAGTGGCTGTTGCTGTCTCCACTCTCCCCACTTCCCCAGTCATGTTGTCCTCCCCTGTCCTTTGTGTTGCCACCAAGACTCATTAGACATCTTCAAGAAAAAGTGCAAATGGCCTGGGGTCACAAAAAAAAGCAGCCAACAATTAGATGAGAGGGTGTTCCATCATGACTGAACCTGCCTGAAGTTTGGGCTGCTGTTCCTTCCTTCCCTCTGCTCTGGCCTTGTGTTCCTGCTGCTCCTGGGGCTGGATCTGACCAATATTCAACTGCAGGTCTGTGCATACAGCCTGCATTGCATGCACTGGTGTAGAGAGAATTCTGGTGTCAGCATCTCTGTAGTTACAGAGTAGGAGCACTTGCACACAGAGAAGTTGCTGGACTATTTCAAGAATGTTTCGAAACCTTTAACGCTTCACTGAAACTGTTCTTTCATCCATCTGCTTGCAAAGCCAGAGTTTTTTTCAGCTTTAAGGAGATCTAAAACAATTTTAAAATGAGCTTTAGAGCCCTTGTCGCATCCTGATTCTTTAAAAAGTGTTATCCTGTTATGCCACAGTAAGAAACAAGCACTGGTTTTTATTGCTTTGTTTTACTTGAGAGGCAGATATTTTCTGTCTGCCTTATCTGTCGCTGCCACATAATGGAGTAAAGTGTTTCTGTTTCTCCAGGATGCTTGACAGGGAGATCATTTGAATCTGAGAGAAAATGTGGGGGTTTTTTTTGCAGTGTGAATATATTTTCTAATGGCTTTTCTACGCATTGTTGGTTTGGAGCATGAAAGTCCAGAGAATTTCTGGGAAACTCACTGCTATAATTTAAGAATCTTGAGGCAAATGAATGCCAAACGTCTTGCAGGACTACATCCCCATCTTTTTGTTTTGTTTTGTATCCTAATTTTTTTTCTAAATAACTTCCATTAGGAATTCCTAAAAGACAATTAAGGGACATCTTTAGTGGTGTGGCAATACCACCACAATCATGGTGATACCGCAATGGCACTGCAAACTAAAATATTAAATCTCAGGAACTGCTAAGATAAAGTAATAAATGACGTTTCTGTATGCAAGATTAAGAGTTTGCACTTTAGGAGAGTTCAATGTTAGAACAAACTATAAATCATCTAAGCAAGGAAGATTTCTTAAGTTGTACTAACGTAAGCCAAACACAAATTTTCAGTGCTGGTAATTAAATAATTTAGATCTTTGGGGGGAAAGTAGGGACAAAATATCTATCAGTTTTTTCTTTTCAAGTAAGGTCTACTTAAAAGCATGTCCAAAGCAGGAAACATTTGTTGTAGGTCCAGAGAAAGATAGCTGGCAATAGTGGAGTAAACAAAGGTATATATTTTTATGTGAAACCACATTTATTTTGTGAGATCTCTCCATGGGGTAATGTCACAAACAGATATTTTAATTACATTTATAAATCACTACAGGGAGCTTATGTCTCATGAATTGATGTATTTTATTCTATTTGGTGGATTTTGATTAAGTTCTCATTCAGTATAAACAAACAAAACAAGACTTGCATAATTAAGCTACTTTAAAAATTTTTACTACCTAATTATATTAACACGAAACTACGTATTCTAATCTGCAGTGGTAAACTGCTGCTAAACAGTAGCACTGTTAATTGAATTAAGTTCAATGAAATGTTTAGCGTTTAGTCAAATATCCTACAAAGAGGAAAAAAACTGCTTCTAATATTGGTGTAGAAGAAAGAAGTTCTTTGAGGCAGTTTAACCTGTTTGAGTAGCCTGCATGGCAAAATCAGACAGGGTCACCTGAAATAGGGAGGGTAGCAACGGCATAATCTTTCTATATGATACGTAATATATAATATATAATATTCATATAGCATTCAAATAGGATTCTGACTTTCATCAAGTAAAAGACTATTAAAAACACAGCAATGTGTTTTTATCCAGTTTCATGTAGATGGTGTGGAAAGCAACATAGCTCCTGTTTCTTCGTGAATACTGTTAACCAAAAGCTGTTCTTAATTGCATTATAACCCAAGACAATGAGATTTAAATTTAATTTCAAATGCAAAATAGTTCTCTTTGAGTTCTTTAGTAGCTACTCCTCATCTAATATGGAAAGAGTTTTCTCTCTAATTGTCTCTGCCTTCAGGAACATTGAGCAGCCTTTTAAACATCTGCTCTTTCCAACCTGCCACTTTACAAGTTGTGGTTTGGAGTAATTTTCTCTTTGGCTTATTTTTCTCTCTTGTCAGTCGCAGATTACGAGCCTAAAAAAATACAGAGGGTCACAAAATCTGAAAGCCAAATGTGGGGAAACCTCTGCTGTAATCTTTATTGATGTGCTTTGTAAAGAAATCTCTAGAGTTTTTTTTTTAGTTTATATGTTTGCTTTTGAAAGAAAACTGGAAATTACAGACACTTTTAATTCAACATGTGCTCCTGTCAGCCCCACACCCTACCCAAACAACTCTCAGTGGACTTTTCTCCAGAGAAGATGACAGTGGTACTCACTGAGGCACAGTTGCTTTCCGGCTTGTCTTCTAGAAAGCCAATCTGGCATGGTGTCCTCTGATTCTGCAGCCAGTAGTCTGTTGATTCTAGTAGACTGTTACTGCAGAGAATCTGTTAAAATAGTTAAAAATAGTCAAAAAAATTAGAAAAGTTCACTCAGTCCTACTGTGCCTTGAAGGCCTGAACTCTGTTGTTGTAACTCAAAGGAAACTTTGCCTACAAAATTTTGAGGGGGCAAGATGGGCCCCTGTTTGGTTTGGACCCATCCAGTTACTGCACTTTAAACCAAATCATTTATGTATCCCCTAAAATATTTCAGGACTGGAAGTCCTGAGACACTTGAAGGAGATGCCTAAACCCAGTATTTTTACTGGAAAATATTGCTATGAGTTTTGTTCTGTGCTAAAGTCACAAACATAAATGTTGGGAAAATGAATTATTTAATTATACCAGAGTACACAAACTTGCAGCCTTTATGAACGACCCTATCTCTCTCCACAATAGATCAGCACCAGTCATTCTGCCAGCAGTCTCATTTCTGGGACTGCCAAGGCTCCAAACTCTTTCTTCTCGGGCAATTTCTTCTGCTTTCTGAGAAGCTGAAGTACTTAAGATCTTCTGTAATGAGTCCTGAGCTCAGTCAGTACCCTGAGATCAAAACTTTGCATTTCATCTCCGCGTTGACTCAGCCCTACAGACTCTGCCACGGGCTTTGCTTGAGCAAAAAGGAAAGGGGGCTACAGATGTCTGTAGATTATAAAGAGGCAAGGCCAGTTTTGTAAATCTGACGTTTAGGTTGAACTGAATTCTCTACTTTCTGCCTCTGTACTAATATTCTCCCATGAAAAAGCAGGACCATTAGTATTAGGGAACAACAGGGAAAAAAAAATAGCTGCAGCATTGATGCTACTTACAGAACACTTTATAAGGTTTATCATCTTCCCCAGGCAGCAAGCACAGAAGTTAAGTATGTTTGTGAAATAGATGTATATTTTATTTGTACTTCTTGCAATTCTTGTATTACATGGAAATAGGTTGTACTCTAGTTTTTACAATTTGATTTTAATAATATTTAAAAATGTAAATTTGCTGCTATACCTGAGGGGGAAAAAAAAAACCCTATCTACAGTGCTTTCCTTGACCTTAGTGAAACTTTTGCACTGTCACACATTTGTCCTGTGTCCAGAACACTTGATCTGTAAGCCTGGATCCCTTCCTTAGGAAGAGAAGTGAAAACTTGTGAGGCCTTCTCATTTCTCAGGGAAGATGAAAAGTCGGTAGAAGCTGGATAGAGAGTTAATGGGACTTGCCCTGCTTCAGTGCCCTTCTTTGGTACCCTCCACAAAGACTTTCCACCTTTGTGGTGGTTGTTTCTTGGTATCCCAGCCCTGCTATTGGATTTTTTTCCAAAGAGCTTTTGAATACAAATTTAGGGTTCACAAAATACTTGGAAAAAGTACTGTGCCCAAAGACCTTTTCCTGAGAATGAAAAAGGCTCATGAATGCTTCACATGAACACCAGCCTCTGTTTGGGGGCTGCTGGCTAATCTTGTTTACCAGTTGAATGACTCAATAAATTTTATAGCCTCCTGTCTCAGTGCAAAATGATTCCTGCCACCATAGCCAGACTAGATGGGGAAAATAATATACTCCATATTCCGAAGAAGCAATTTCCTGTTAGTGTAATAACATGTTCATTTTTTCTTTTCTTTTTTTTTTTTTTCTTTCTTTTCTCTAAGGAAATCTTTCTAAATGTGTAAATATTGAAGCATTATGAACTGGTTGGTAAAATCTAGAATTAAGCATTTTTTCCTTTTTTGCAAAAATTACTATCCTCTGAGCCTTTAGAATTGAACATATACAGACATGCACACATACACATATATATCTACAAATATATATGATTTCAGATCTCATTGGATTCTAGATATTCTCATCCTCAGGGGCTGAAGCTCTACCTCTTAAGACATAATTTTGCATGCACAGGAAATAGTTCTCTTTAACTCAAATAGCTTTTGCTGTAACAAGCAATCTTGTTTCTCCTTTCCTTAAAAATCCCAGTGAACTTGTCTTCAGCCTTAATCACTTTAGATCTTCCTTTCCCAAAACTCAGACAGTTTCTGAGAAACTGTGATAGGCAGGAATTTATCACCCAGAAACAAGCTGCAGAAATCCTTGGTGCTGTTCTTTTTCTCACGAGGACTTGGTGTGCATTACAGAACAGCCATATCGTAGCAGAATTGTTGTTGTAGACGATAAACCCATGAAATGACCTGTGTAGTCCACACTTCACCTGGTTTTGTCTCCTGTGGGATGTTAAATGACCCTTGGCAGTTCCCTCTTTCTTTCAGAGGATGTTTTTATCAGGAAGCAAATCCCGGTAAGGCAACATAGCAGAAGAAAGAACTCTCCTGAACAAATGTTTCAGTCAGGTCAGGTCAAGCTTGGGGCACTCCAGGATGGTTTATAAGTTGCAAAGCTTTATACTGCATTTAATTTTAGTTGTGTGAAGCTTTTCATTATGGACTTTGAAGTCAAGGGTAGAGATCATTATATGGAAATTTTGGGCAGCACGTGATTTTTAAGTAACCTTAAGGAAATGAACATTAGAACGATTATGTTTGCCCTAGGCCAGACTCTTCTCTCCTGTGCATGAGCAGTTCTGTGCAGCCAGAAATGCAAAGAAGGGTGAAATAGGCATAACATTTTTAGTACTGGGGAAAATAATCTGCAGCATTTGGATTTGAAAAAGACAGGTGAGAAAAATAAAACCAGATCTGCTTGAGTCTATGCAGTAGAAGTTGGCAGAGGTCAGCGATCTAAGGAACACAGGGTGGCCCAAAGTCATCTGGAAAGTGTCCAGAAATTACTCAGAAAAGACAATGCTGTGGGAACAGGAGGCATGGGGGAACATTACAAGAGGTCTCCTTGCACATGGCCTGGTTTGACATGTATTTGAATGGAACTCAGGAGACAGAAGGTGACATTTCAGTAAGCAGTGGCAGGAATGAGGGGTAAAACTTGGGTTGAGTTTAAACTCCATGTTACAAAACACAAGTTCCTGCATTAGGATCATCACTGCTGAAAGCCTTCCCATTAGTACTTCTAAGGAAGTGGAGGAAGAATAATTTGGGCCACCCTGCAGTGCTGATCACAGTTAGGGTTCCACACACCTGCTGTGCAAAAATGCATCTATGGAAGTGAACTTTTGGGCACATTTCTTTGATAACAGACAGCAGATTATCGTGGTCAAAGCCAAACATATGGTAAGAATGAATGTAATATTTCTTACACACCCTCGCTGCTGTAAGGCAATTCTCCCTGTTAAATAGGTTCATGTGTTTATATGAAGTGTGAGTTTGCATGTGCATTGGAACTTGCTTGTATATTCATGCTTTTAAAGGAATATACTGAAGTCCTTATAGTGAAATAATGTATGACTGCAATGATCAGGAGTGCATAAGCTTGAAAGAGTTGACCTAAATTAGCAGAGCTAAATAATTAATCAAAAGCAGTGTAAGAGCTGGTATTCCTCAGATCTGTATCTCCACCAATGCATTCCAATTGCTATTTTTGCATTGAAGCACATGTTCAAAATATACTGAGGTGGTCTGCACCAAATGATAAAAAAACCTAAGCCTGTACAACGTCAGCTGTCAGTCTGCACTTTTAATGCAAGCAGTATCACTTGCCAAAATATCCTCCTCCTGTCTTGTACTTCTGTTCATTCTTATCTAATTAAGACAAGATCAGGGCCAATCCCACTGACATATTGTGAGCATTTCTGCTGAATTCAGCAAGGTTGCTTTTGGTTTGCAGTGGCACAACCGAAAGCAGCAGAGCTTGATTTGTTGACCGTGCTCGTGTGGCAGCTGCTCACGCTATACTGCTGCATATCTGCTTTGGAGCAGGATCATCACACTCAGAAAATAATTCAGGATGAATTTGCATCATGCACCAAATGTGAAATCAGCAGTAATTCATGGTTCTAAAAAAAGTTTTTCCACTCTCATCTAGAGACTCAGCCGTCAGCATTACTCACTGTGTTGTGAATCAATGAACTAAATCAGCCTCTAGCAGAGTGTGGATTCGAAAAGTCACTCTTTCCCAGAGGAAAATACTGCATATGAGTTTAGTGTAACAGCTTCCTGCTCCCTGATTTAGATCATAAGGCATTAAAATACACCAAATATCTATAACCGAGACAGCATTAAAAAAGCTCTGCTCCTCAAATGAAACATCTGCATCTCCATGACTGATCCTCCTAATTGCTTTGGTTAATTACTACTCATCAAAAAAGGCAGGGAAGTGGGACATACAGTGGGACATACAGAATAAAATGAGATATCAAGGGGCACATCTTCTGTGTTCATTCAGGTTCCATGTCATATGGTCCCTGGCAGGAGCAATTCATGCCAAGTACAATTACTCAAATCTGCAAGTTTAAACTGTTGCCTTGCAGCAGGAACCCACGGCATTTCACTTCACCACCCATTACACATCTAACTTAAAAATTACTGTACCTAACAAAGGCTAAAAGAGAATTCCTTATCCTTTTCCACACACAAAAAAGAACAGTAATACCTTCTCTGAACAAGCTGTTAAGAAGCCCAAAATATCCTGCTGTTTGTCAGAAGTGTTGTCAGAAGAGAATCACTTACTTTAGTGTGCCCACAATCACAACACTGACTCGTGTTCCAATGAACAGTCCAAATTCATGGGATCAGAGAGGTGAAGCAGCTCTCAATCATGTGCTAAAGCCCAGCCTTTAAAAGATTGTGATGTTTCTGAAGGTGACCAAGCAGGAGCATTTGTAAAGAGGTGATGGCACTTCTCAGTGTTGTGCCGCTGTCCTTCCCTCTTAAATAAAGTAGACAACTCTGAGATTAAATGAAAATTTAAGATGTTCTCCCA